GCATGAGCTTTGGTGTGAAGACCCTGCTGGGCCATGACAAGGTAGGGACGGTGCCTGGGGCTGAGAGGGGTGGGCACCCAGCCAGAATGCTTGGGGTGGCTGAGGGTTTAGTAGTGGCTGAGCCGAGAATGGTGACTTTGCTCCTGATCTTCTTCAGACGACACAGTTCCGTCTGCCAGAAACGCTTAGTGGAGACTGACTTTTCAGAGGGCTTAGCACTCTCGTGTCGGGGAGAGCAATACGATGATCCCTGTATGGTGGGTGAGAACATGGGGTGGGGCCTCTCTACCTTCCTGCAAGGGCTGGATTCAAACGATGGTCCCGTGCAGCGTCCAGAAGGTGACAGCCCTGTTGGTAGAAATGAAGCCAGTCACTTAAGAGCAATTGACAACTTTGATATTCTAAGTTAAAGGACGTTGTGTTCCCCTCTAACATTCTCAAGGCAAAGACCAATCTTAATAGAGAGATTTTTTTTTTTAAAAAAATCTAAATAGAGATCTTCAGAGAAGCAAATGGGATTTTTCTTTTTGGAGGCCCTTTAATTATCTTTTCCATTTACTTTCAGTGCGATTACAGTATCCTTTGGAGGAAAGGAGGCTGGCAGGCAAGCACTGCCCTCTGCTGCCTGTTTTGAAAGCCAAGCCTAGAAGAGTTGTAGGATTTTAGTAGCCTTTCTAGCCTTTCTAGCCTTTCTTTTTTTTAGTAGCACATGAACACCAAACAGGAGGGAGTGTAAATCCTACAGCTGGTATTTTCCCCCTTTTTTTCTCTTTCCTTCCTTCCTGCAGAAAATTTGTGGTTGGTATTACTTACTGGGAGAAGATCTGGGCAGAAGAAAGCACCTGAAAGTGGGCACAGGTCCCCTCAAGCGAGGCCAAGGTGGGTCCGTCCAGGAGAGAGGACTTCTTTTTCTCCAGAAAGACTTTCTGAGACTTGCCCGTCTTTTGCCCGTCCTGCCCTCAGCTGATCCCTTCTGGCCAGGTAGGCCAGGCAGGATTCAGCAGAGGATTCCCTGTAGGTGAGGAGTGGGCTTGGACCTTTTAGGATGCCCCCCCCCCTCCCTGCCTCCCCCATCCAAAAAAGGCCTTAAGAACATGCTTTCCTATACTTCCCAGTTTTTCATGAGGTTAAAGAAAAAAGGCAGAAGGGAGAGAGCTTTTATTGGTGGCACAAACAACCTGCAATGCTGCCTTGGGCCTTTTCTCTGTTTCAAGACAGAAATCAGAAGACTTCAGGGGGGGGGGGGGGGGCCTATAAGCATTAATAAATACCTAAAAGATACCTGCAGGCTCGGGAGGGGGGGGGGGGGGGGACTGGGGGGAGCACACACCAGTTAAACATTTCTGTAACTGTAAACTATATGGGGATTAACTGATTTGCATAAGGCATAGATCTACTGATTTTAATAGTACAGCATTTTGGTCTTGTTGCTTAATCCTTCTTAGTATTTTCCCTTTATTCTTCTGATTTCTGTTGTATTGGATGCTTTTGGATTGGTCAGCTATTAACAGGCGCCTGATTCATGGGTAGCATCAGGATGAAGAGGAGGCCCCCATGTACCCCTCCCCGTTGGGAGGGCAGGACACAACAAGCCCCCCTGCTGTCCTCCCTTCTTTGTGCCCTTCTCTTTCTTTTTTTCACCAGAGATGACGTTAGCCAAGCCGGCTGCCTTGTTGGGGGAGCAGCAGCTGCAGGAGGACATGGAGCAGATCAAGGTGTGTGGAAGCCCCCTTCTAGCTCCTGGGCTCCAGTTTCTTTGGCCAAATTGCCCACTCCATTCACCAGGAGGGCTGAGGGAGGGAGGGAGGGAGGAATGAAACATGAAGGAGGCCCATTTTCTGGGACAAGCTCTAGAACTGCCCAACTGGAAACATGGGTATATTCAGTGTTTCCGAGGGATTTGGAGGGAGCCCTCAGCCTCAATACCTGCGACCAAAAGAAGCTCCTTGGTGGTGCTGGTGCTGCTTCAGGGGGAAAGACCTCACCAGCTTCTCTTGGTTGAGGTGCCCTGACCTACCTTGGACGGGAGGACCCAGCAGCTCTGGGATCTCTGGAAGTTCTCGCCCCCAAAATCAGCCAGCCCGCTTTCGTTTGCAGACGAAGATTTAAGTGGCCACGGAAAGTCCAGGGAGGGAGAGACCGTTTCCCCAAGGAAAGGAAGGTGCCCGTGCCTCAGTCTCCCTGATGGGATGAGGGGTGTTAGGGAGCCCTGGGCGTTTTTACTGAACAACGCACCCAACAGGCAGAGAGGAGTTGATGTGAAATTGTGCACCTTCATTATTTACAGTCCTTTCCCTTCCTCGTGGATGTGAAAGTGTGCCCCCCCCCTCCTTCCCTGGTGCTGGGAAAGGTCTGGTGGGTGGCAGGGACAGAACAAGGGCTGCTGGCAGGAACCTGACTCTGAACTCTCTCGCCTTCCTTCTCCCTCCGAGTTCTCAGGAAACCTCCGGGCTTATCACAAAGCCGCACATGGCTGCAGCCGCCTGGGAGGTGAGGGGTGGCTTCCTGCCATTCTTCTGTGAGCTCCCGAGTTCCCAGGGCAGCCGTGTGGGGCCACAGAGGCTGGGTCCTCCTCTCACTGGTCAGGCAGAGTAGGAAATCTCTGTGCCTTGATGGGCTGGTCACAAGCCCCGAGGCTTTGGACATGAGCCGTTTCCACGGACTGTGCAGAGGGTGCTCGGAGCGGCGCTACCGGCAGGTCGGTTGCAACTGGGCACCAGGCCCCCTTCCCTGGGCTCTGCTGAGGCTTCCGTCTTCTGGGGAGCGTTTCTGGGGGAGCTGGATGAGGGGGAGGCAACCTGGCCTCCTGGACGGAAACCTGATTCCCCTTGGGCCTGTTGGACCTTTTAGGCAGCAGAGTTTCCACATACTTGTGAGGTGGCAGAAGCTGACTCTCCAAAGAGCAGCTCGCCTGGGGCTTCTTGGCCACTTCTGGTTTCCCCAAGGACCAGAGCCAAGCGAGTGCTGAGACAGAGCGATGAGCTAGGCAGCCTTTGGCGGTTCGGTTGGCTGTGCGGTGGTGGGGGTGCGAATATGCTCTTGTAACCCTCCCCTGCCTGGCCTCCTCCCTTTGTCCCCAGGGGAAGCAGGCAGCTCTCTCTTCATCTATCTGCTGTCACTTTTCTGGGAATGCCAGCTCGTCCTCTAGCCTTGCTACCTTCTCAAGAGCTGGTCTCAGTGACAAGGCTTCTGGGATGTCCCTCTACTGGTATTGCTAGGTAGACAGAAGAGGTGCTCAGGGGGTGGGGGGGGGAGGTGCCCTCTGTGTGGAAAGGGGCAGCCTTAGGCGGGGACTGACCTGCTTGGTCTTTCTGATGATGCCATTGTTGAGCCAGAGGGCGACTGTCTGACTCTTTTCTGTTTCTGTGGTCTGGGTGTGAGGGGCATTTGAGCCACCGGCTTTTGGGGGGGCTGAAGAAGGAGCTTGATACCAGAAGTGGGCTACAGGCTTCTTGCAGACAGCAAGGTGGGATGCGGGATCTAAACCATCCAGAAAGAAAAAGACGTACAGCTTACAGCACAGCCCTAAATAAAGTCTGTTGCGTTTAGCAGGACTAAACACAGGTAAGTGTTTAGTAAGTAAGTGCGTAGGATTGCAACATATCTCCAGCTACAAACTTGCAGTTTTTCACAGCTCCCTGGCTGTATTTACACAGGCTAATAGCCTCTTCATACATGCATGAGTTGGTAATGAGCCCGTTGAATCCGTCACGCTTCTCCCTTTAGTAGTTGGTCCATAAAAGCTGCAGCTCTGAAGGTGGGAGGCGCCGTGCCCGCTTCTTCCTCGGGAAAGAGCTTCCTGGAAGCCCTGCGGGGCTCCTCCTCCAGGCCGCCTTTCTCCGAAACCGGAAGGGCAGTTCTTTCCCTTTTGCTGGTCAAACAGGAAAGAAAGATCATTAATAAAAATGTTATGCTTTTCAGATACTGAAATTGTTACATTTTTAAAAATCTTCACTGTTATGATTCATTTTTAACCAGTTTTTAAAAGTGTGTAAAACTCTTTATTTTGTTTCAGATCACAATCCCGCGTGGGAAGAATGGGTTCGGTTTCACCATCTGCTGCGACGCCCCTGTTCGGGTCCAAGCCGTTGATTCTGGTAAGGATGGGTGGGCTTCACCTGCAGAGGGGGCTGCCTGGCTTCCTTCTGCTTCAGGTACCCTCAGTTCCCGGCATGCGTCCTTGCAACATGGCCATCCAGGCCCGAAACCAGGTTTTCAGCCCCCCCTCCCCCCGAATGTTGTGAAGGTGAAATCACCCAGTTCTCAGGGGTGACCTTGGTTTAGCTTCGCTCCCTCTCTTTTCTTTCCAGGCGGCCCAGCAGAGAAGGCTGGCTTGCAGCAACTGGACACGGTGCTTCGGCTCAATCAGCAGCCTGTGGAAGACTGGAAATGCGTAGAATTGGCCCATGAGATTCGGTGACTATGAATTGTGTGTGGAAAGGGGTGCCGGGGTGGGGGGGAAATGAAGGGCCCAAGTCAAGCCGTGGGATCAAGGTCAGCCTCTGGTTTGCTTTCTGTCGCGGTCCATGCACCTTCCCCTGCAGACGGCCTTTTCAGGGAGTCGCTGCAGGGAGGAGGGGGATCGTAGCTCAACCAATCAGTGTCCCCCTGGCCTTTGCTTCCAGGAACTGTCCCCAGGAGATCCTCCTCATCGTTTGGCGCATTGTGCCGCAGGTCAAACCCAGCCTGCAAGGGGTCTCCCGCCACCCCTCTGGCAAATCCACCTACGATTTGCAGTCTCCGCCCACCCGGCGGGAGAAGAGCAGCACCGGGCGATCGCGGGCCCCCGAGCATCGACAGAGCTGCCACGTGCTGTACGATGGGAACCACGAGTTTGCGCTCAACAGCTGGGAACGATACACTGAGCTTGGCAAGGCTCCCCAGCAGCACACCATGCCTCCGCCTTCCCGACCTCCTTCCTCCAGTGGTACAGACAAGAACTACATCCTCCTTACCCCGCTTAATCCGGGGGGCCAGGTACGGCCATTGGGAAAAGGGGAGATTGATTTCCAGTGGCAGTTTTTCTATGCGTGGTAGACACATTTCTCCCACATGTTGGCCCCTATGGAAAAAGAGAGAGAGAGAGAGAGAGAGATGTTCAGCTATGTTTATCCTTTGAACTGCCCAGCGGGTATCAAAATGAGAACCCCCTCCCTCTAAGGAAAGGTTCAGCAATGAGGAAAACTATTTCTGGAAAGTTCAGACTGAACGTTCTCCAGTGAGAGAGCAGGCAGAGAACTAGCGATGGGGGCAAAAATTCAACTCCGTCCTCTCCCTGACTGGCTAAGCATAGAGGCAATCACTCTGTGTCCTAAAAGCAGTGTGTGTGTGTGTGTGCTTGTGTCTTCCAGCTTCTGAGGCGAGTCTGCCAGGAGAATGAAGCTCCCGGAGGTAAGTGGCTGTAGTTGTAATTCTGGCTGCCTTTGGGTGTCCTAACACGGCTGGCGGCCTTGAGAACAGAATCCCTCCTCCATTTTTGTTCCTAACGTCCAGGCAATGTGTGCAAAGGAGAATCTCGTGGCAAGAAATCCCGGCTGATGAAGACGGTGCAGACCATCAAGAGCCATGGAAGCAGCACCCAGAGCTGCCCTCTGCTGGGATCCCACATCCCACCCTCCAGTTACGGCACCTACGTAACCCTCGTGCCCAAAGTGCTGGTTTTCCCCATCTTTGTGCAGGTGAGTCTCAGAAGGCTCCATACCTGGGAAGTCCCTTTTCTCTGAGCTGTGCATTTCTCTCTGGCCCAGCTGCCCTCAGTCAGAGTTCACTGTCATCCTTCTAGAAGCCTTCTAGGGCAGAGCAAGGCAGGAAGTCATAGCCTACCCAGCAAAAGTCTTTTCTTTCCCCTAATGGCCCCCTGGGTGCCCCAGGGAACTTGCCAGCAAGGCTCGGAATGCAGGATTCTTGCTGGTTTTCAACTTGCCTTCATTCTCCAGGGAGAACCATCACTTGGTTGTGCATAGAGCAAAAAAAGCCGTGACTAGACCTGGCCTTGGTGCAGCTCCCAGCAGCTGGTGTTTAGTGGCATGCAGATTCTGGACGTACCCTGTAATTACCATGGTTAATGCCAGTTGATTGGGCTTCTGCCAGAGCAGCAGAGTTTGCACATGGGAGTAGAAAGAGCCAGGGAGGCCAGAGGAGAGTGAAGCCCTGAACAGAAACACCGTGGCAGAAGGTAGCTGGGGAAATCTGATATATTACCTCTGTGAACAGACGCTGCTCCTGAGAAGAAGCTCGGCCTCTTTCAGAAAACTTGGGGAAGAGGCTGGACTCTTTTTCTGGTCAGCCCAGTCCCAGTGTGGCTCTCCCAGGCAGCTTCCTCCCCCAGCTAGCCATGGAGGGTGGCCTTGGTGGAGCCCAGAGAAGGAAGGCTGCGTTAGGATCTCTGGGCAGATGGAGTCCTCCTGCCTCAGATAGAGGCGCCCAGTCGGGCATGTAAGCTCTGTGCTTCCCTTCTCGTGCCACCTTGCCAATGTTTTCTACTCAGCCACACGCTGGGACGGTTTCAACTGCTCAATGTGTGCTGAAGATTTTGTTGAATAGCAAAACGATGATCACCTCATCTCCCAAAAGTGGAATTCTTTCTCTAGTTATTGTGTGACCTGCCGGCTCTCCTGCTTGTTTTGTTTTTGATTTCCTGGACTCTGGACTTTCCATTGGTTATCAGGGGTTTGCAGCCGTCAAGGAAGAAATGGATGGAGTCCTCCAGAGAGTTTTCTCTCCATCAGGGTCTCTGAGTTGTGTGTCTGTGTGTGTTTCTCTTACTCCATTAGCCTCTGGATCTTTGCAGCCCAGCTCGGACGCTGCTTTTATCAGAAGAGCTGCTGCTTCACGAGACTCGAAACAAACCAACTGAGGTGAGCAACTGGGTGCATCCCAGGAAATGATATTTATTAATACTGACTCTTTGGCGGGGAAGAAGAATCCAAAGTGCCATAATGTCAGAGGGCACAAGGTGTTCAGCATTGTTAGGGGCATCTTGTGATACAGTCACAATTGATATTCACAATATTTAAAGTCACAGTGTTGAGATGTGGGGCGGCATAGAAATCTTTAAATTTAGCCAAATAATTTATTTAATTTACAGATAAACTTGTATTTAAACAAATACAGAAATGGAGGACCTTCTCCCTTCTGGTTCACCCCCAGGCTTCTCCTGAGAACCAGAGGCCTTTCTTGGCCATAGAGACTAGGCTTCCCTAACCCTTGAGAGGCCTGGTGCCAGGGCAGGCCATTCTAGGCAGCGACCTGCTGTTAAGTGCCACTGCCCCTTTGGTCTTCCTGCTCCTGTGCTGTGCCGGCCTGGCCTTCCTTTGGAAGTGCTGCTGCTGCTGCTGCTAAGTGGCCTGGTTGGGGCAGTCGCCTTCTGGAGCTGCTCTACAAGCTCAGGGGCTCCTACTTTTGCTTCCAAATCCCCGCAGGTTCCCCATGAAATGTTAGTGTGGTTAATATTCACACTAATGTTTCCGTAGACCTTGCAGTTTTAATACCCTTGTTTTTGAACCCTTGTGCATTGCTGCACCCACGGATGAGTTCTGCTACCAGCTAATGGATGAGATTACTTTTTTGGCATGGACAGTTTTCCTTTGGACTGGCTCATCAGTGTGCTGAGATGCTGTTTGTGTTGCCTCATGCGCATTGCTGTGGCGAGGGGGGCACTGACTCTGTTGGGGGCTTGCTTCCTGGTGGACAGGCGCCAGAGAAGCCCTGCCAGTGTCTCTCGATCAAAAGTTGGCTCTTTTTTTAAAGCCCTGTGTGACCTTTGGAGGCATGAATTAATCTGGTCACCAGCTCACTTTGCTGCCAACCCGTAGATTCTCGTGTGGCTTTTTCTTGGGGGGAAGATCCAAGCCTGTCTCTGCCCACAAATGGGATCAGTGCCAGAAGAGGCTAGAGTGCAAGGGATTTCAGCTCACAAACTCCATCCTGAGGCCTGGGATGAGGGAACCTCTCCTGCTCCAAGTACCTTTTGGCCACCTGAAGTAAACAAACTTGACTTCAGGGTCTGGAATGGCAAAACTCCTTTATTTTCTCTTTGTTTTTAAGAGCCAGCCTGGATACCTTCCCCTTTTTTGCTTCCAATGGGTCTTTTTTTCCTTTTTTGCCTCGGCTACTATTTCTGAAACAAATATAGTCAATTCTTTTGCTGCTACTGTAATTCCTGAATTTGGCTGGAATGTGTCTGTGAGGTTGGCACGTCTGGTGGTCTTAGAGTGATTTCATTGTATTGTATGTTGCAGGGAAGTTGCTTCCAGAATTTCGCTCAGAATTGTGATAACATCGTACTTTTCCCCCCCACTAAAAGGGAAAGGGGCAGTTGGCCGTGCGCTGTGTGGCACTCTGCCAGAAATGTCCATTCCCTAAACCTTACGCTAGTTTCAGTCACATCCTGTCTAGACTTGATTTTTCTTCCCACAGTGATAATCTTTGAAATTCTGGGGAGTTTTTGGAGCTGTGTTGCACGGGGACTTCTAGGCCCATAAGGTCCAAAATGAGATGCCAAGGGGTGACTCCAGAAGCCCTTTGCAGAGGGACGCCTGCCCTGTCTGGGCAAGGAGCCAAAGAGATTTGAAATGGGGGCTGATGCACTGAACCAGATGCCATCAATTGCAGAAACAGTGATTAGTTCGCTCCAATTTTGGCCCTTTTTCTTTTTCCTTCTGCCTTGTGTAGGTGACCCTCTTCGTTTATTCAGACTTACTGCTCTTCACCCAGGAAGAGGAGCCCGGACGATGTAATGTCTTTCGCAACCCACTTTACCTGAAGGATGTGCGGCTGCAAGAAGGTGAGTCCAGAAAATGACTCCTCCACGAAGCCCATCCTTGGCACAGCAGGAAATGATGGGCCGCCCAGGGAAGTTCTGGTCACGGTCTGCATTTAAGGACACCTTCCCTCGCTTTGTCCCAGGAGCTGAAGGGCAGACCAGGCCTTCCTTCTCGTATTGTTTTGGGACTCCTGAACCCTCAAGGTGGGAAGCCCTGACTGCCTCAAAGGCCCCGTGGCCCCTGATTTGTCCTTTTGGGGAAGGAGAGTCATTTAAGTGGCCATGGCAGATTCTCTGGTGGTGGTTCTCATGGGTGAGGAGATCCCACGAGGGAGGGGAATCTCACGGGATTCACTGCGGCTCCTCCTTGGACCTCACTTTTCTCAACCAGATGCATAAAGTCCTTAAGGGCTCAGGTGGTCTCTGGCAGCCAGAACTCCCTGCCTGTCTTCCTTTTCCTGAAGATGCCCTTGCTCAACAGCAATTTTGGCATCGTTTATTAATTAATCTTGTTATAAGACCTGACAGCTGCTGTCACCAAAAGTGTCTGCTTGTCCTGTGTGGCCTGGCAGCAGCCAGTGGAAGTGGCAGCAGATTCGGACAGTGAGGAAGTTGGGGAGGAACCTGGGCCAGTCCTGGAGTCCGGAAGGCTCTGGTGAGGGCTCTGTGTCGGAAGCAGAGAGGGGGACAGGGCCGTCTGACAGTTATCAGCTGCCTTCAGAGTCA